TCTTGTTTGAGCGAGAGAAACGGACAACAGATAAAGAGTTGTAGCTAGGTCCTATAGAAATTTGAATAAGAGCTTGCCGGTCACGTGGAAGGTCTTCGGGGAGCCAAAAAGTGCTCCATACGAGGCCGATCCGATCTCCATTGTGTAGCCCTTCAAGTGCTGATAGACCGCGAGCTCCTGTTGTTTTTTATTGGCATGGACTGAACATGGTCCCTAGCTGTAAACGTATGTGTTGACTTCGTGAAACCTTAGTAGGATGGTTTACTTGAGATGCAGTGTGCTCGGCTTTTCCGTTTTTTCTTTGTCTTTGCCTCCAACAGTTGACTGGGCTATAGCTAAACCTGCCCTTTGTCTAATGATGTGGTGCCACGAGATATTCGATTTGAGAGTACCTTCTCATTGGGGCATGCCGGCAACCTTGCGGCTGAGAACTATCTGGTGCGGGAGTAATCCATCGAGCTGAATGCTTAGTTGAGTATTCTATCGCGCCTAGTAAAACAGGCATCCCTATACCTATGTGTCTTGTGTTCTTATTAGTGCCATTGAGGGGTGGCCGAAGGTTAGGCGTACACATGGGCTCATCCCCGCCATCGATCTATAAATTTCCATTTTCCGCAATTTTGGTTGTCAAAACGAGATATGAGTGTATAGGGGCGCCAGACTCCCTGTGCTGTGATGGGTTCTGCCATGTGAAAGCGGTGAACTGCTTGTCAGGGCTAGGCTAAACCATGATGCTGTGTTACTAGGCTTCGCCTCTCCCTTCACTATGAAAGTCTGGCTCCTATTCTTTAAGAAAAAGGAGATGGAAACTGAGCTTGATTATCTAATGGAAGGGAAGGAAGAAGTGGAACTTTGCATAAAGTGAAGATCGCTGGGGGTGAGTAGAAATGAATTGTTTTTCATAAATAGTAAGATTCCATTTTATTTGTCTGCCCCCCCCAAAAAAAAAAAGAAGAGAGACTTGTTGGAAATGTGCTTTGTTGTTGACCAAGAAAGAAAGAAATGGGAGTCTTTGGGCATTGCTTGGGCTAAGTCAAACTTGGGACGAGTGTTGTATGGCTACCTAGTGATTTACAAGTACCCTCACTGCACTGACCATAGTAAACCCCTTCTCGTTGTACCGAAATAGAGATCTGATTTAAACGACCAGA